AGAAATATTTATTAGCGAAATTTTCGGCAACTCCTGTTACCTTCGTCAGCGCATGAGTATCAATGAGAAACTTAACAGAATACATTAGAATATACAATGGGTGATTAATCACCAGATCTATAAACAATAGGTTACACAGTCTTATCACTAGCAATAGTTTATAAAAAGACCTGACATAAGCAAATTGGCATAAATAACTAGTCAGAGTGGCAAAACTAATGAATGGTAAACAAGGAAATAGGCCTATAAACAACAAAAATATGATGATGATGATAATAATATAATAATGTCAAATAAAATGTCAAGTGGACACATAACTATCAAAAAAGGCATGAAGAAATATATAATATATGATATAAAAATATAGAAGAGATAAATAGAAGAGATAAATAGAAGAGATAAATAAACTAGATGGATAAAAATATATATATATCTAGTCTATTTCTCTCTTCTATTTCACTCTGATGAAGTCTTGAGGACAAGACGAAATATGCGAGAGGTCGCAGGTTCGTATCCCGTTGGAGGTATTTTATTATACTAGGTATTTATTTATAGGGCAAAATTTGTTGAGAGCTACGTAATATATGTTCTTCTATCCGTTTACGATTAGTTTTTAGATCTGAAGCTCCTTGAAAGTGATTTTTTGACGAATTTGGTAAAATTTTATCAGTTTGTAGTAGTATAAGACTGGGGTTGAGGTGGGTGTGGATCCCCCGTCAAAAAAATTGGACCCTCATCTGTCGCTGCAACTAGTAAGTAACGCTCTCTTCAGTGGCGTAGCTAGGTGCAAAAGGGTCCCAGTGCAAGGGTAATTGCCAGGCCCTTTGATGTGATAGGGGAAATCCCTAAAGTTCTTGAAAAATTCATTATATGAAGTGCTTCCTTTACCCCCCTACTCATCCTAAAGGCCTTCATATTTCTTTTATACTTTCGGAAAAAAAAAATTAAAATTGGGGTGGGACGGCTGGGGCATCCTTGAATACACCACTGATTTTAAATCAACGCAATAAACAAGTAATTTCTTCTCTGAAAACTATTATTGGGGGCTTGTTGGCCATTTTATTTTTTGAAAATATTAGGTTGGAATTTATTTTAAATTATTATTTTTATGTCTACTTATGAATGGGCCCCTAATAACCCTGGCGCCAGTGCTTTGCACTTGCTGCACTGCCCGTAGCTTTGCCAACAAATTGCAAAATAACGAAATGTTGGACCGTATGGGTCGGGAGGGGGGGGGAGAATGCATAGGGCCCCGACGAGGGTCCAAGTTGCGCTCAATCCCCTATTGGGAAACAATGCCATTATTGAGGGCTCATGTTGATAGTAATTTTTATGTCCACTTATGAATGGGCCCCTAAGCCCTGGCCCCAGTGCTTTGCACTGTCTGCACTGCCCGTATCTACACCAATGAATTGCAAAATATGAAATTTTGGGCCGTATGGCCAAGTCTTGACTGGGGACACGGGGGCCACATGATTGTGAGTGGAAATACTAGTATTGTTTGAAGGTTTGCAATGCAAAGTAACTTATGTGGCAAAGACAAGCCAAACCAGTCACTCGTCGGAAAAATCAATTTTGAGTTATTAATACAGGGTTTAACAGTAAAATGGGAGCTATAAAATGGTAAAAGAATCATTTAAATCCGACACTTCGTTATGAAGTTGCACAAGTTTAAACATACAGCTGTTTAAAGAACAATATTTGAGAAATCAGCCTTCAAAGTTTACGATTTCAGGCATTTCTTAGGCAGAAACCATCACCAAATCGTTAAAAATTGTTGTTTTAACATTGAAAATGAGGAAACTAACAGCATAGCATGATACATAGATGTATAAAGGTTAGTTTAGTGCAATAAAATAGATTTCCAAAATTTTGAAATTCCAGCATGTTTTGGCCATTATCTCCAAAACAGGATTTGCAACGAGTGACTGGTTTGGCTTGTCTTTGCCACATATGTTTAAGCTTGCGGTACACCATGTAGGTAGTTCTGAAAAGAACTGTTGTAGTTGAGGAAGTCTCGAAGTTTCGATTTAGTTGCTTCAATTGTCTTCAGGAGAATATCTGCAGAAATTCAAAAATACTTATAAATAAGAAATACTTATATGTTTGGGTAGAGATGCTGGCTGCATTGTTAGTCAACAACGGTAATAACAACATGAAATGCGTTCCAATCGTTGGTGCAAATGTTGCGGCTAATAGAAATTGTAAATAAAATATAATAAATGAAAATACGCATAGACAGGCCTACTAGTATTACGTTGTAGATGAAATTTTTTTTATAGTCCAGCAACTATGCAAATGTAATAGTGTAGTTTTATATAGCGCACAAATCCATCTAATGTAAGATGCTCAGGGCGCTTGAAATGTGGACTAGGAACTCGATCAATGACTTTCTTCGCCCCTAAGGGTCCCTTCGTGTCTGTGCTACCCGGTAACCCGGTACCAGCAACTCTCGTCGTCCTGTCTCTTATACACATCAAGACCGTTAACAAGTAAC